ATTATTGCTCCACTACTGAAATTAGCTTACAAAATTGAATGTTAAAAGGAGCTTCTGATTGAAAAAAGTCCCTTGCAGACAGAAGAACGTGTATCTGAATAAACTAGTTATTTGTCATTGAGAATGGACTTGCAGATGAGAAAGCGCATGTGAAAAAAATTAGTTATTGGTTATTGAGAATGCAGTTGAAGAAAGAAAACCAAGAGTGCAGTTAAAGAAGGAAACTGCATGGGAAACACTTGTATATGAGAGAGTGCGTGCAAAAAAACTAGTTATTTGTTATCGAGAATGCAGTTAAAGAAGGAAAAGTGGTTGGGAAACACTAACGAGTGGCGGAGCCCATAAAATGCATCTTGTGGATTACTTTTTTCGTCTTTTGAAAATTTGGGATCTTTTTGCCATGATTTTAAGCTCGTTTGGATGTGTTTTTAAAATGACTGAAAAACCCTTTTGTTGAAAATGTTTTTAGAACCTATCTTTAGTAAAAATGCAAGTGAATTCTAGAAAAACACTTAAAGTGCTTCTTGGAAGAAGCATATAACTGGTGATTCTTGCAGAAAACATTTCAAGTACTTTTGAAACACAAAACCATTCTCTAAAATCGTTTTTTCTTTTGCTCAAATATGAATTCAATTAAGAAACTCTACTATTGCTCCACTACTGAAACTAGCTTACGAAATTGAACTTGAAAAGGAGTGATTGAAAAAGCCTTACACTTGAGAGAGCGAGCGCGTGAGGAGAAATTAGTTATTAGTCAGGTAGAATGCATTTGTATAAGAGAGAGCGTGTGCGGAACCAAAAAAAAAAAAAAACTAGTTATTAGTTTTCAAAAATGCAGTTAAGGAAAAATTAATTATTACTCATTGAAAATGCACTTGTACATAAGAGAGCATGTGCGAAAAAAAACTAGTTATTAGTTATCAAGAACGCACTTAAAGAAGGAAAAATAGGTGAGAAACATTGGAGAGTGGCAGAGTCCATAAAACGCTTCGTCTGAATTACTCTTTTTTTGTCATTTGAAATTTTGAAACGTCCTTGTCATGATTTTGTCCACAAGGGAAAAACACTTTTCTCTTGGGCTTATTTTCAACAACGCGCTACCAGAAACTTAATTTTAATCTTACTTTGTCCCTTGTAACTCAAACATCGTTATTTTATTTCTTGACTCTCAAAATTCGCTCGATTTTGTCTCATGAAACCTGATTTTGGATCCTATTTTGCTCCCTAAAAGTCAAAAGCTGTCATTTTACTCTATAAAACTCAAAATTCATTCCACATTGCCTCAATTATGTTAATTCTGTTATGTGGGATGTTAACATGTAGTGATGATTTATAATATTTTATGTTAATTTCATCATTTTACTCTATAAAATTCAATTTTAATATTTTTGGATTGTTGGATGCTGACATGTTATTTCATTAGCACATGCAATATAGTCTTATTGAATTGTGAGTTCCACATATGTTTAAGAGACGACTTTTGAGTTTCAGGGAAAAGAGGGAGTCCACAAGTCAAGTGGAAAGAATTTTGAGAGTAAAATGGTGATTTTGATTTACAGAGAATAAAGCAAAATTAAAATTAAAATTCATAAAACGTAGCTAAAAATAAGCATTTCTTTTGATCAAATATAAAATTAAATTAATAAACTCCATTATTGCTCCACTATTGAAATTAGCTTACAAAATTCAACGTTAAAAGAAGCGTGTGATTGAAAAAGTCCCTTGCACTTGAGAGAGCGAGCGCGTGCAGAGAAATGAGTTTTTGATCAGCAATGTGGAAGTTATTATAAGTGATCGAGTTTGTAAACATTCTAGCCGGATCCAACCTAATGATCGCATTATGGAAGTTTCAAGCTGAAGAAAAGTTTTAAATTTTTAGGATTCTTTTTTTTTTTTCTTCCAAATCCCTATTAATTAGTTAAATTATTTCTTTGTGGAAGTTTTTTGTCCGCTTTACTAGTATTGCTTTTGGGTCTAGTATAGAAATTAAATGAGGCTTTTTTTAGAAATATCTGCAAATCGAAAAAGAAAGAAAAAAGAAATGAAGAGGACATTGCTTCACTTGAAATTTTTTTTGAGAAAATTGTAACAATGACCCCTTAACTTTAATCTAATTGGAGCAATGGTCCCTCAAATCAAAATCCATGACCATTGATCCCTTAACTCATCCCAACGTGCAACTATGGTCCTTTTCATCCACTCCATCAAATTTTCGTCAAAATGACTCATATTGGAAGGATCATTGCTACAAACTCAAAATCTATGACCATTGATCCCTTAACTCATCCAAATGTGCAGTTATGGTCCTTTTCATCAACTTCATCAAATTTCCGTCAAAATGACTTATGTTGGAAGGATCATTGCTACAACTAAGCTAAAGTTGAGGGACCATTGCTACAATTTTTCATTTAGTTTTCTATATTTGCCTTTTGATTCAGCCTCACGTGCATGGCACATGACTAATTTTGACGGAAGTTTTAACGGAGTTGACGAAAATGACCATAGCTACACATTTTGATGAGTTAAGGAACCAATGATCATGAATTTTTAGTTGTGAGACCATTGCTTCAATTGAGTTAAAGTTGAGAAATCATTGCTAAAATTTCCTTTTTTTTTAGAACTCCTATCAATTCTAAAATGGTGTATCATTTAAATTTTGCCCGGGGCTTAAGGACAGGCCTTTTTCAGTAGTTCATGAGAATCAGACGGACCGGTGGTGAGAAGGCGAGGATATTATGAGGAGAACGGAGATGAATTAGAATGTAAGAAGCTATCAAAGTCTAAATGATCTTGAATAAAATGATGGTACAATTCAGATGGATCAAGACAACTAAATACAAATTTCTAGTGGCAATGAGTAGGTGAACCTCAAATATACAAATTGCCGAAATTTAATATATTCCTACTTTCTAGTGGCAATGTGTAGGGATGAGTTTTACTTTGCTTTTGCTACTAAGACTAGTTCGTAGTGTTTTTTCATTTGTCATTTTCTTAGGGGCATTGCTTTACAGTTAAAAAGTTTAATTTAATTTTGTATTTGAGCAAAAGAAAAGTGCTTTTCCCTTGTGGACAAAGGACATGGATCATCTCCTGATCCAATTGTCCTAATTTTGGGAATTCATGAATCCGGACCGTTGAAATTTGATTTAACGGTTAAAGATATTATAACTTTTAAAGTGGTCCCCTGTTTGTAGCCGTTAGATCAAATTTTAACGGCCTAGATTGATGGATCCGTAGGATTAGGACAATTGGATCCGGAGAGGATCCATGTCTGTGGACAAAATCATTGTAAAGACATTCCTAATTTTCAAAAGATGAACAAAATAATTTAGACGATGCGTTTTATGAGCTCTGCCGCTCTAGTGTTTCCCACCCACGGTTCCTTCTTTAACTGCAATCTCGATAACTCATAACTAGCCTTTTTGCACGCTATCTCATATGCAAGTGTATTTTTTACGACTAATAACTATTTTCTTCAACTGCATTTTAGATAACTAATAACTTGTTTGTTTTTTTGGGTTTTTTTTTTCCACACATGCTCTCTCATATACAAACTTAATAATAAACTCTATTATCGCTCCACTGCTGAAATTAGCTTACGAAATTCAACGTTAAAAGCATGTGATTGAAAAAGGCCACTTGCAGATGAAAAAGTGCGTGCAAATAAACTAGTTCTCAGTTATTGAGAGTGCACTTGCAGATGAGAGAGTGTGTGCAGAAAAACTAGTTATTAGTTATTGAGAATGTACTTGAGGAAGGGAAAGTTGGTGGGAAATATTGGGAAGTGGCGGAGCCCATAAAACGTATCGTTTGAGTTACTTTTTTTGTCTTTTGAAAATTTGGGATGCGCCATGATTTTGTCCACAAGGGAAATGCACTTTTCTTTTGTTTGAATTACTTTTTTTGTCTTTTGAATAAGTTAAATGATAAACTCAATTATTGTTCCACTACTGAAATTAGCTTACAAAATTCAACGTTAAAAGGAGAATGTGATTGAAAAAAGTCCCTTGTAGATGGAAGAGCGTGTGGGTGAGGAAGCTAGTTATTTGTTATTGAAAATGGACTTGCAGATGAGAAAGAGCGAGCTAAAATATAAGTTATTGGTTATCGCGAATGAAGTTGACGAAGGAAAACGAAGAATGCAGTTAAAGAAGGACAAGCGAGTGGGAAACAGAGTAATGCTAGTGAAGAAAAATTATTAGTCATCGAGAATGCATTTGAAGAAAAATTAATTATTAGTCATCGAGAATGCATTTGTATATGAGAGAATGCGTGCAAAAAAGCTAATTAGTTATCGAGAATCACTTGAAGGAAGATTATCCATCCGACCCAAAAAAAAAAGAAGAAAGAGTGGGTGGGAAACAATTGAAAGTGGTGGAGCCCATAAAACGCGTCATCTTTTTGAAAATTTGGGACGGCTTTGCCATGATTTTTATCCACAATGTAAAAATACTTTTCTTTAGCTCAAAGGCAAAATTAAATTAAACTTTTTAGCTGTAAGGCAATGCCCCTAAGAAAATGACAAATGAAAAAACACTATGAACTCATCTTTTAGTAGCAAAAGCAGAGTAAAACTCATCCCTACACACCAAACTCTTCATCTTTCAGATTCCGATCCGACGACGACACAGTTGTGACCATGGGTGAGTTGGCGGGCAGAGCTTTTCTCTCATCTTTCCTCTTTGTTTTGTTTGACCTGACCGGATGGATCGCATTTTCCCTCACTCAGAAAAACTAATCACACTCTTTAATTAAAAAGAAAAATAAAAAGAAATATTAGTTAAAAATTGACCCAATCAAGAATGGTAGTTGTATAGTATTGCCCCAATCCCAGCAGGTAAAAGTGTCGTCCCAAAAAAAATTGACGGATAAACCGCGTTGCATTTTTCCACTTTAATATTTTAGGATCAAAACAAAACTGATTGAAAAATCCCATGTGGAAAAAGTTGACGGATGTCTGAACGATCTGAAAGCTCTGAACTAGTAGCAAAGCGTCATTCAAGCAAAACTAGCTCATCCCCACAACCCAAACTCTTTCTTCATCTTTCAGATTCCTATCCGACGGCGACTCAGTTGTGACCATGGCTGAGTTGGTGGGCGGAGCTTTTCTCTCTTCTTTCCTCAATGTTTTGTTCGACCGGATGGCTTCCCGTCGCTTCCTCGATTTCATCTCTGGGAAGAAAAACGACAACGAGCTGCTCATGAGGGAGTTGAAGCTCAAGTTGCTCACTGCTAACAAGCTGGTTGACGATGCCGAGGAGAAGCAGATGACAAGACCGACCGTGAGGAGGTGGCTCGACGACCTCAAAGATGCTATCTATTGTGTAGGAGAGTTGCTGGATGAGATCAACACTGAAGCTCTTCGACGCCAGCTGGAAGGTGACGATGAGCATTCTCCTGCAGCTAGCAGCAGCACAAGCTGGATCACATCAGTATTCAAGTCTTCTTCTCCGTCCGATGAATTTCACGACTCTCTTGAACCGAAGATATCAAACATTCTGCGGGTGTTAGACCTCATTCTCAATGAAAAAGACGTTCTTGGTCTGAAAGAAGGAGTTCAACATAGACCACAAGACACAACTCGTCAAACTACTTCTCGGGTCGATGAGTCTGGCGTCTTCGGAAGGAAAAAAGAGACAGAAACTATTCTTAAAGCTTTGCGTTCGGATGACACGACTGGCGCTAAGATAGGAGTGCTTCCCATCGTGGGCATGGGAGGGATCGGGAAGTCCACCCTTGCTCAACGTGTGTACAAAGATGTCAAGGATGACTTTGATGTCCGAGCATGGGTTTGTGTCGGAGAAGAACTTGATATTCTTCAAATAGCGCAAACAATATATGGGAGGATCACGGATCAAACTTGCGGGATCACAGATCTGGATCTGCTTTCTGAAAGGTTGGAGAAGGTTTTGACAGGAAAAAAGTTCCTCTTCGTTCTTGATGATGTCTGGAGTGAGGATTATCTTCTTTGGAAAAACTTGATGACTCACTTCAATAGTTGCGGAGTACGCGGAAGTAAGATCATTGTCACAACACGCCAAGGACGCGTTGCATCTATCACCAGGCCTCTTTCAACACATTATCTACAGGGAATATCCGAGGACGATTCTTGGTCGTTATTTGCAAAGCATGCCTTCACGGAAGACAGTGTTATTCCTGCCCATCCGCATCTTGAAGCCATTGGAAGGCAAATTGTTAAGAAATGTCAAGGCCTTCCTTTAGCTATAAAATCAATGGGGGGCCTGCTATACTCTGTTTTGAATCCAAGGGAATGGGAAAAGATATTGAAGAGTGACTTATGGGAGTTGCGAAATGATAAGGTTTTGCCGGCTCTATGGTTAAGTTACCAATATCTACCTCCGCATCTCAAACGTTGTTTTGCTTATTGTGCAATATTTCCTAAAGGTTACAGATTTCAATCTTCAGAGTTAATTTTATGGTGGATGGCTGAAGACCTCTTACAACCCCACGGGAAGGAGGCATTGGAAGATGTTGGAAGTGATTACTTTGATATTCTAGTATCAAGGTCTTTCTTTCAACATTCAAAAGTGTATGGGAAGTCATGTTTCACCATGCATGACCTTATCAATGATTTAGCAAAGTTTGTATCTGGAGAGTTTTGTTTGAGATTGGAGGACGACCATCTGACAGTCGACAGAAATATATGCAGAGTTCGTCATGTTTCTTCCATGAACTTCTGCAATCAAAGCACTCAGAATCTTGGGGCGCTATATGAGGCTAAGCATTTGCACGGCTTTCTACGACTACATTCGGTACATTTTTTCAGATTGGGAAACAAACCGATTGATCTATTGCCAGTTCTACCATATTTAAGAGTGCTCAAATTAGAAGATCGGGATATTGTTGAGTTACCTAGTTCAATTGGCGACTTAAAACAATTAAGGCATTTGGACGTGTCTCGGACTCCCATAACAGAATTACCTGGTAAGGTGTGCAACTTGTACAATTTACAGACCTTGTTATTGGAATATTGTGATCGGCTGATTCAACTACCTTCCGAATTGGGGAGACTAATCAACTTGCGCCATCTCAATATCAGAGGAACAAAGATCAAACAGATGCCTGCAGGGATGTGTAACTTGAAAAATCTCCAGACATTAAGCGATTTTGTGGTGGACAAACAAACAGGTCAAAGGATTGGAGAGTTAAAAGAGCTTCAGCATTTGCGCCAAGATCTTACAATCTCGGGAGTTGGTAACATTGACCATGAGGGGAATGCTTTGGAAGCAGATATCATGAGCAACAAGGAGTATCTGGACAAACTTGTTTTGACATGGGGAAGAGGTTATGATACTAGTAATCATGATCCAGAAAATGACAGAGAAGTGCTCAACAACCTCCAACCTCATACAAACCTCAAACAACTTGAGATTATATCTTATGGGGGTTTAGAATTTCCAGGTTGGTTAGCAGATCCATCTTTCTCTAAACTATCTCATATTGTACTTAAAGATTGCAAACATTGCCGCTTATTGCCACCACTTGGGCAACTACGCTTCCTCAAGAATCTTTATATTCAAGGGATAAATAACGTGGTGGAGATAGATAGCGAGTTTTACGGTAATGATGCTCCGTTTATAGCTCTAGAAAAATTGTACTTGCGAAAGATGTGGAACTGCCAAAAGTGGTTATATTATGATGGAAGCAGAGGCAATACCACAATACTGTTTCCTAATCTTCGTGAGCTTGAACTGAGCAGATGTCCCAAGCTGACTGAGATAGTACCGTTGGAGAAGTTGCCAAGGCTTGAAAGGGTAAAATTGAGGGACCTGGAATCCTTCAGCGGTTCACTTGCACATGTGGAATCTGAATGCCCTAAATTCGTCTCCCTCGTTCACTTGGAAATAGAAAACTGCCCAAATTTTGTATGTTTTCCAGATGGAGGGATGGATGCACCCAAATTGGAGGAGCTGTGTATCTCTGAATGCAAGAAATTGAGGTCGTTGCCAGACCAAATGCATACCCTTCTACTGTCTCTTCGGATATTGAAAGTGTTTGACTGTCCAGAAGTGGAATCATATTACGATGGAAGCAGAGGCAACACCACAATACTGTTTCCTAATCTTTGTGAGCTTGAACTGAAAAGATGTCCCAAGCTGACTGAGATAGTACCGTTGGAGAAGCTGCCAAGGCTTGAAAGGGTAAAATTGAGTCACCTGGAATCCTTCAGCGGTTCACTTGCACATGTGGAATCTGAATGCCCTAAATTCCTCTCCCTCGTTCACTTGAAAATAAAAAACTGCCCAAATTTTGTATGTTTTCCAGATGGAGGGATGGATGCACCCAAATTGGAGGAGCTGTTTATCTCTCAATGCAAGAAATTGAGGTCGTTGCCAGACCAAATGCATACCCTTCTACTGTCTCTTCGGATATTGAAAGTGTTTGACTGTCCAGAAGTGGAATCATATTACGATGGAAGCAGAGGCAACACCACAATACTGTTTCCTAATCTTTGTAAGCTTGAACTGAAAAGATTTCCCAAGCTGACTGAGATAGTACCGTTGGAGAAGCTGCCAAGGCTTGAAAGGGTAAAATTGAGTCACCTGGAATCCTTCAGCGGTTCACTTGCACATGTGGAATCTGAATGCCCTAAATTCCTCTCCCTCGTTCACTTGGGAATAGAAGACTGCCCAAATTTTGTATGTTTTCCAGATGGAGGGATGGATGCACCCAAATTGGAGGAGCTGCTTATCTCTCAATGCAAGAAATTGAGGTCGTTGCCAGACCAAATGCATACCCTTCTACCGTCTCTTCGGATATTGAAAGTGTTTGACTGTCCAGAAGTGGAACCATTTCCTCAAGGAGTGTTGCTGTCAAATTTACAAGACCTTTCTTTTGAGTGTTGTAGAAAACTCGCCGCAAACCGCTCACTGTGGGGTTTAACAAGACTCAACTCTCTTAGAAAGTTGGAAATCAACTTCACTGAAGAAGGTGGAGAAGAAATGGGATGTTCGTTTCCGGATGAGGGGCTCCTGCCCACCGCTCTCACTGAACTCGCCATCCGCAAACATCCGAATCTTACAACAATCCAAGGCAAGGTGTTGAGACAACTCACCTCTCTTCAATACCTCACAATACAAGGATGCCCTGAGGTCCAGTGCTTTCTTGAAGAAGCGCCAAAATCTCTGAAAGGCTTGTTTATTAGTGAGTGCCCTAATATCAGGTGCTTGCCAGGAGAATGGCTTCCCACGTCTCTTTCTCATCTGTCTATCCGGGAGTGTCCGCTGCTAAAAGAACGATTCCGGAGAGAGACAGGGGAAGATTGGCCCAAGATTGCTCACATCCCCAACGTGTTTGTATTTTAGATGTTCTTGAAATTGGCTCTCTCTCTCTCTCAGGTGTAAGTGTATATCCAGCAGCACATGCTCTTGTTGTGCAGTGTTGAATTTGCCACAAACTCTTCCTAATGCAACAACAAAGGGGGAGCTGCTATAGCCCTTGTTGTTTTGCGATGGAGTAGTACTGTGTACATGATTACTAGGCTAAAACAATTTCATTAGCAGATCCCAATTTCATTCAAAACGCAAAGCTTAAATCCAACTACTGCTAAAATAAAATCACACCAAAAACTAAAAAGAATCATAAAATCGAAAAAACCCAAGAAATTCGAAGTTTTACGCTTTCAATTTGCGAAAAACAAGAACAAGCAGTATAATTTGTGGCAAAGGATGTGTAAAAATATGGTTTACACAAATCATCAAACATCTGGTGTGCATCGAGCACCAACCGCGAGGCTTTTGCCATCTAAACGACGCCGCTGCCATTTTTTCCCTCGCTTTCTAGGCTATGTACTTCTGACTGAAGGAAACTGACTCACTGGTTGTTGTTTTAACAGTGAGTCGTGACTGATATTAGGCGACATATCGTTTTAAGGGTCTCAAAGTTAAATCGGGGGATTAGCTTATGATGCGTGGACCCGGATCACCTCTAAACTATGCTAATCATTCTTGTTATACAGATAAATTTCTTATCCGGACGTAAATGTTAAAATTTCTTTCAAGGCCATCATTCTATTTGTTACGCTTTAGAATGAAAGTTGCGCCTTAACTTCGCTTGACTGTTGCTTTCATAATTTTTTTTCTTTTTCAATTTTGGACCTAATTTTAGACATGATTGCTTCTTTTTGTGTATTAAGAGATTCTACAAGCTTAAGCTTTATGATTGAACTCTCAGAATGTTCGGTGACTGAAATGTAAAACCTAAGTGAGGAATTGGTGTTGATCAACTGGAAAGATAGACCATGTGACAAAATTGATATTGGCACAAAAAATCAAACATTAAAATCCGAATAAGAGACGAACTACTTTGTTGTATATATTGTTTAATTAGAATCAATTACTCCGGAATCATCTCTACGATTATTGCATATATTATAGAAATGTAATTTCTAATTGTAACTTGTGTAGGATTCCTATCTAAAAAGGAATTGATATTGTGAAAACTACCAAAATGGAGTATGGTAGGGGTAGAGGAAATTTTCGATGGAGCGATGAAATGCGTAGCGATCGGAAAGTACTCTATATATTATAGTGATTTATATAAAGTAATACAAAGAATCATATTTCTACGCATATTAAACAATTGCCTCTATTTGGTTTGTCATCTCCACTCCTCGTTTGAAGTTGTTACAATTTTTTTAAAATCCTTTCTAGGGTAGGAAATATGAGAAAGGTTGCTTTTTGGCGTAAGATTGAACAATAATAAGAACTGAACCATGTAGGCTGCCCTATATTCAAACAAATTAATATATACCTCACGCCCAGAACTCAAGGTAAATATTTTTAGTAGATATTTTCGTGTCTAGAGTGTCACGGAACTGACTAAGCTTGGACAAGTTGAGGTTAAGACTGGGAAGCCGGTGAGATTAAACATGATTGTATTGATATGAATTAGATTATTGCGTATACAATAATACAGCTACAATAATTTAGTATCAAACTCGTCTTTCTTGAGAACCTAACGTAGAAATTCCAACACGAGTTTTGCAAATTTCATATTGGATCCTTCCTTGTTACTTGTTTTGTAGTATCCTACTCTGTACAGGAAATAATGCAAAAGCATACGCAGCAGCTTTCACATTGAAAAGCCGACATGTGAGTAAAAACAACCAAACTGTAAACTTCATGTTATTTGGCTACAAAAGAGGATAATCCTCTGCCCAAATTTAACATCAAAAGTAAACTAGTTGCAACCTAATCTAAAGACACAAGGTTATTGCCAAGCGCTTCATCATCATCGTCATTAATTTTTGCTACTCGCTCTTCACTTCAAGGTACAAACTTAAGTCTCTCTCTGTGTTTCCCTTTTGAAAAGCTCATCAAACTGTATAATGTTGTTGAATTGTATCGATGTCAAGTCCTTTCAGCTTCACAACTGACTCAACATGACCCTTCAGCGTATGCAACTCCCGAAGCCTGCAACAAAAACGAAAAGCTCTTTTAGAACTCAATTCTCACGTGGAACAAGTCCAACCAGCAAAGGAAAACAATGCAAGATGAAGCATTTTCCAGGAAACAAGAAACAGAACCGGCAGACATCATTACGGAGACAAGCATGATTCTATATCTATGTATGAGTGCAAATGGTCCTTACCTTGCAACCTCAGCCCTCCGCTTCGCTTGTTCTGCAATCTCGGAAAGCTCCCTGTAACTGTTCTTCTCATTGAAAAGGTTGTTCGTTTCAGCTGGCTGAAGACCGTGAAGGGTCCTCTGTGCTGCAGCCCACTGTGCTTCTCTCTCCTCTTTCCCATAATCTTTCTTTGTAGTGAAGGCAATATGGTGGGAAGACACAATAAGGTAAATTGTGGCAAGAAACATGAATCTAACTTATATTGTTGAGTAGCGCGGAATGCAACATACCTTATTCTCCAAAAGATTATTCCACGCTTTTCCGCTTTGAATGTATCGGATTGCGAATTTAAGAAAGTCAAGAGGGACATATGTACTGTGAAGCCAGATGACACCAGCCCACCCCCAGCCAGATCCTTTTATCCGTGCAAAACACCAGTTTGCATAGACTGCTATGAGAGTTGCAACCTGCCATTTTGCGGAAAGAGTTATTATAAGAAAAAAAAGGGAATATTATTTCGTCATACGCATACCAGAGCAACCAATTAAAACATCAAACAGGTTTTTAAGCTCGCTAACAGAGTAACATTCTTACTTTGAAAATGTACAAATTTCTAGATTAATCACCTTAACGTTATTGGAAATCACTACAAATTATAAACTTCAACACATCCTGGTGTATGTGTGTCTATCCAGCAGCACATGCTTTTGTTGTGCAGTGTTGAATTTGCCACAAACTCTTCCTAATGCAACAACAAAGGGGGAGCTGCTATAGCCCTTGTTGTTTTGCGATAGAGTAGGTACCGGGTACATGATTACTAGGCTAAAACAAGAGCAAATTTGAATTCGTCAATTTGTCTATTCGAATGTATATGTATAACCTTGCTCATTATCATTGTATGTATCATGTCGACTACAAATTCGATTAATGTCTGGCACTGTCAAGAACAAAAGTGAAGACTTTCCATTCTGCATCGCATGATCCCTGTCAAACTTCAACCATTAGCAGATCCCAATTTCACTCTAAACACAAAGCTTAAATCCAATTACTGCTCAAATAAAACCATATTACCAAAAACTAGAAAGAATCATAAAATCGAAAAAACCCAAGAAATTCAAAGTTTTACGCTTTCAATTTACGAAAAACAAGAACAAGCAGTATAATTTATCGCAAAGGATGTGTAAAAATCTGGTTTAGACAAATCATCAAACATCTGGTGTGCATCGAGCACCCAATCTCAGAGAAAGTCGAGAGAGAGAGAGAGAGAGTTACTTGGGGGATTGCATCGAGCACCCATCTGGTGTGCCCAACTGTAGCTCCGCCCATCGAATAGTGCAGACATTAACGGCGAAGTCCAACCCTTCCGCGTTGAACCGGGCGGCTTTTGGCACGTCCTTGTGCTGCTGCAGTAGCTACCTAAACGACACAGTGCCATTAGTTCCCTCGCTTTCTAGGCTACGTACTGCTGACAGAGGGAAACTGACTCACTGGTTGTCGTTTTAACTTTGAGTCGTGACTGATATTAGACATGTCCTTTTGAGGGTCTCAAAGTTAATAACATAAATTGGGAATTGGCATATGATGCATCGGCCCGGATATATATACAAGCTTACATTGGTCTCACCTCTCAACTGTTGTGATAATCCTTGTTATACAGAATAATTTTTTATCCGGATGTTAATGTTAAAATTTCATTCAAATTCAGTCATTCAGTTTATTACATTGTAAGATGAAAGTTACGTCTTAGCTTCGCTCGACTCTTGTTTTCATAATTTTTTTTTCTTTTTCAATTTTTGACCTAATCTTAGACATGACTGCTTCTTTTAGGGTATTAAGAGATTCTAGAAGCGTATGTTTTATGATTAAACTCTCAAAGTGTTTGGTGACTGAAATCTAAAATCTAAGTGAGAAATTTGTGTCGATTAATTGGAAAGATAGACGATGTGACAAAATTGATGTCCACACGAAAAATCAAATATTAGTGTCTAGATAAGAGATGAATTGCTTCGTTGTACATATTGTTAAATTAGAGTTAATTACTTAGGAATCATCTCCGTGATTATTGCATGTATTATAGAAATGTAATTCTAATTGTAACTTGTGTAGGATTTCCTATCTAAATAGGAAGAGGGATTGATATAACCCTACAAATATTAAACATTTGCTTATATTTGTATTGTATTCTTCTCCTACCTCCGGAGCTCTAGTGTTTGTTTCTCTATCCCAATTGTTGAAACACTACCACCACACTTCTCTTTACTCAGAGGCAATTGAACCAAGTGATTACTACATCAAACGCATAATTGCTGGTTTTTGTGTTGATCTTAAATTTGTTGTTAGGTTTCTTGGGTAGCAGTGGAACATCAAAGTGCATCACTCTCAAGCACCCACTCTTTGGAATCGACCTTCTATGCTAGGTTTCTCGAATGTCTCTCTTATTTTGTTTTTAATGTTTTTTTTTTTTTTTTTTTTTCCAAAACAAATCTGATTGCATCTAAAGCTTATTTGGTGTTTTTCTAAGAAAAAAATAAACGGGTTTATTGTTCTGATTTTATTTAATTGTATGAATTGCAAGTTAATTAATTTGTTCCTTTTATGGACCAAGAAAGTAAAAGGTATGGATCTGGCATTTTTTTTTTTTTTTTTTTTTTTACGAATTGAAGAATACAAAAGGCATGGTTTTAGCAAGTTGTATTGGAAGATGCAAGACCCAGGGGGGGAAAAGATAAAGAAAGTTATTCATGCATTAGTGTTTAATATTGATCAAATAGTGCATGAATTGTGTGGCAAGTATGCTAGGAAGAGAAACACCGATGGAATTTGGGGATGCAAGGATTGTGGAAAAACTGAAGGTAGCACTGCTAGTTCTTAAACCGTTAAAAGAGCAAAAGAGGAGGATTTTAGTAATTAAGGGTATATTCGTACTTTCATTCAACTTTTGGTTATAATTATCAACGACTTAAAAAGGTCGTTATAATTCTATAGAGGGATCAAATTTTGGTTATTTTTCCAAATTTCCCCTTGACTTTAACTCAATTGGAGCAATGGTCGCTCAACTAAAAACATTACAATTGGTCCATCAACTCATCAAAACGTGCAACTATGGTTCCTCAACTAAAAATTTATTACTATTGGTCCCTTAACTTTAATCCAACTAGAGCAATGGTCCCTCAACTTTAACTCAATTGGAGCAACGGTCCTCCCAACATAACTTGTTTTGACAAAATTCTAACGAAGTTGACGAAAAGGATCATAGCTACACATTTCGATGAGTTGAGGGACCAATGATGTTGGATTTTTAATTAAGAGACCATTACTCTAATTTGATTAAAGTTAATGAACCATTGCTACAATTACTCTTGTTTTGTCATCTCCGCTCCTCTTTTTGAAATTGTTACTATTTTTTAAATCCTTTCTTGGGCTGCCCTATATTTAAACAAAATAATATATACCTCACGCCCAGAACTTGAGGTACATACTTTTAGTACATATTTTTGTTCTAGAGCGTCACGGAAATGACTAAGCTTGGACGAATTGGAGTTAAGACTGGAAAGTCATATGAGATTAGGCATGATTGTATTGCTGTGAATTAGATTTTTGCATACACAGTAAGACTGCTCCAATAATTTAGAATCAAACTCATCTTTCATTAAAACCTAAAGTAAAAATTCCAACACGAATTTTGCAAATTTCATATCGAATGCTTCCTTATTACTTGTTTTGTATTCTCCTACTCTGTACAATAATAATGCAATAGCATACGCAGCAGCTTTCACATTGAAAAGCCGATATTTGAGTAAAAACAACCAAACTGTAAACTTCAAGTTATTTGGCTACAAAAGAGGATAATCCTCTGCCCAAATTTAACATCAAAAGTAAACTAGTTGCAACCTAATCTAAAGACACAAGGTTATTGCTACGCGCTTCATCATCATCGTCATTAATTTTCGCTACTCGCTCTTCAAGGTACAAGCTCAAGCCTCTCTCTCTGTGTTTCCCTTCTGAAAAGCTCATCAAAATGTATAATGCTGTTGAATTGAATCGATGTCGAGTCCTTTCAGCTTCACAACTGACTCAACATGACCCTTCAGCGTATGCAACTCACGAAGCCTGCAACCAAAATGAAAAGCTCTTAAACAATGCAAGACGAAGCATTTTCCCAGAAACAAGAAACAGAACCGGCAGACATCACTACTGAGACAAGCATGTTTCTTTATCTATGTACGAGTGCAATTGGTCCTTACCTTGCAACCTCAGCCCTCCTCTTGGCTTGTTCTGCAATCTCGGAAAGCTCCCTGTAACTGTTCCTCTCATTGAAAAGGTTGTTTGTTTCAGGTGGCTGAAGACCGTGAAGGGTCCTCTGCGCTGCAGCCCACTGTGCTTCTCTCTGCTCTTTTCCATAATCCTTCTTTGTAGTGAAGGCAGTCTGGTGGGAAGACACAATAAGGTAAATTGTGGCAAGAAACATGAATCTAACTTATAATGCCGAGTAGCGCTTATAATGTAGCAGAAAGCAACATACCTTGTTCTCCAAAAGATTATTCCACGCCTTTCCGCTTTGAATGTATCGGATTGCGAATTTAAGAAAGTCAAGAGGGAAATATGTCACTACACTGTAAAGCCAGATGACACCAGCCCACCCCCAGCCAGCTCCCTTTATCCGTGCAAAACCCCAGTTTGCATAGACTGCTATGAGAGTTGCAACCTGCCATTTTGCGGAGTGAGTTATTATAAAATAAAAATAAAAGGGAAATTATTTTGTCATACGCGTACCAGTGCAACCAATTGAAGCATCAAACAGGTTTTTAAGCTTGCTAACAGAGTAAAATTCTTGCTTTGAAATGTACAAATTTCTAGATTAATCACCTTAACATTAGTGAAAATTACTACAAATTATAAAACTTCAACACATCCAGTAGAGCAATTAGGTAAAATTGTAAAGGTACTCAGGTTGGCAAAAATGCTTACCAGTTGAGCAACCATGAAAGCTCCAAGTAAGAGAAGTCCAGGGCGTTCAACAAAAGACCAGCTACGAGACCTTGTGACGAAAATAAGAGCTTGGCTCACAATACTCACTTGTAAGTACAACGCCGCCATCATTTGCTCAGGCCTATCCCTCAAAGATCTCACATGAAACTTTTCCTGCATTATGAAAATAATTAAATAAAATCAGAAGAATGAACATATTTGCCAAAATAACTGTGACCTAAATAGCTTATGTATTAATGGAAAACAAAGAACTATATATTCCTACCGAGAAGAAGTCGGTATCATTCATAAGCCAGAAGAACACTACTGTCATTAGTGCCAAGTAACCTCCAAGGACAATGCCAGTAGCAAAGATCTCCCTCAGTTTCCAGCTGTCTGGCTGTGGAGATGGCTTCACTCGATCCTTTGAGATTGTCATGATAGTTCCTAGCAGATTCGTAAAAACAAAGTCAGACTCGTTTAAAACTATGGTGTTCCAATGGTAACTGATACAAACAGATAGGTGGATAATCTTACCGTCATTTAGGATGGCGATGATCAATACCATGAAGGGTGCAAAGTCAAACTTCCATATCAAAGCAATTAACATAAATCCAAACTGCATATAACTTAGCAACATGAGAACAAACCACAACCAAAAATAGGAAAACTCTAACATCTAAATACCGATCATTGCTTCACTTACCACTATACGTATTGTAATTGAAACAGCATAGATCTGCAAATAGAACAAACGAATTAGAATGACCTGAGAAGATTAACAAAAGAATTAGAACAATGGTCAATGACTCAATATCAAGTTAACAGCATTCATAAACCGTGCATATTTAATTAATAATGAAACAAAAAAATCAAAATAAAAAGTGGACAATTGTGATAGTGTCGCCAAACAAGTACTGAAGGCAGAGCGACATGCCCAATAACTTTCATGCTATGAGCAATCATGAGTCTAGGCTGAATTTAAACCAATAGCAATGGATTTGGAAATGCAAACTACTACCAAGAAATGTGGGGTTTATAAAAGCTTGGACCACAAAGCAATGATAAAGAAAAGAAAAGCAAGAGACCAATTACCTCCTTAGGATCAGAAAGCATTCCTACAATTGCAGCATCAATAGCATCCTGATTTTCAGTCCTAGAAGCCCTTGCTGCAAGAAGGATAACATGCTCTTTCTCCACACCCTTGGCAATGCTCTTTCTCCACACCCTTGGCAAACACTTCAATCAGATTTCTATGAACTGAGAGCTAGTTCAGGGTCAAGGTCCCAGTCTTATCACTGCAGAGAACGTCCATGCCAGCCATTTCCTCAATGGCTGTCATTCTCTTGGTCATAGCTCCTTTCTGTGCAAGCCTGTGGGAACCAATAGCCATGGTGACTGATAAAACAGTTGGCATGGCAATTGGGATTCCTCCAATCAAGAGAACCAGCAAATTATCAATCCCTTGCCTGTACTTGCGCTTCTGTATTGGGTACATTACTATTATCTCAATTAGTATCCCCACATCAATTGAACAAATGCAGAAGTTCCCGATGGCAGTGAGAACTTTCTGGAAGTGCCCAAC